GTGGGTGGGGGGGGAGCTTTCATGTGTCACTGCTCACTTCTGCAGATACAGCTAGAATGGGAGTCCGTCTTTCCTTATATCTTGGAGAGTGAAGTGATTCCAGATGCCAAATGACAATAGCAGGCATTGGTAATGAGAGAAACAATGTAGGTCTCAATTCAGTCCGGGAGTTTGCATTGTCTTGAGCTTCATGATCAGTTGCAATTCAGCAGACTCTCTTTCTAATCTCCCTTTGAAATTCCTTTGTAAGAAAACTGCTACTCTTAGATCAGCAACTAAATGTCCTGGAAGGTTAAAATGTCCCCCCACTGGTTTTTCAATGTTGTGGTTTCTAATAGCAGTAGAAAAAGTAAGAGTCCAGTAGCACCTTTAAAGACTAACAAAATTGTGGTAGGGTACGTGCTTTTATGAGTCACTGCTCACTTCTTCAGACTTATTTCCATTTAACAGTGGGGTACAGCAGGGATCAGTACTTGGTCCAATGCTTTTTAACTTGTTCATTAATGATTTGGAGTTGGGAGTAAGCAGTGAAGTGGCTAAATTTGCAGATGATACGAAGTTGTTCAGGAAATCCTAAATATAAATACACATTGATGGGGTCTGAACTGGCAGAGACTGATCAAGAGAGAGATCTTGGAGTTGTAGTGGATAACTCACTGAAAATGTTGAGACAGTGTGTGACTGCAATAAAGAAGGCCAATGCTATGCTGGGGATTATTAGGAAGGGTATTGAAAACAGATCAGCCAATATCATAATGCCCCTATATAAATCAATGGTGAGACCTCATTTGGAATACTGTGTGCAGTTCTGGTCACCACACCTTAAAAAGGATATTATAGCTTTGGAAAAAGTGCAGAAAAGGGCAATTCGAATGATAAAAGGGTTGGAACACTTTCCCTATGAGGAAAGGTTAAAGCACTTAGGGCTCTTTAGCTTGGAGAAACAACGACTGAGGGGTGACATGATTGAGGTTTATAGGATTATGCATGGGATAGAGCAGGTTGACAAAGAGGTACTTTTCTCCCTTTCTCACAATACAAGAACTCGTGGGCTCTCAATGAAATTGCTGAGCGGTTGAGTTAGAACGGATAAAAGGAAGTACTTCTTCACCCAAAGAGTGATTAACACATGGAATTCACTACCACAGGAAGTGGCAGCGGTGGCTACAAGCATGGACAGCTTCAAAAGGGAATTAGATAAGCATATGGAGCAGAGGTCCATCAGTGGCTATTAGTCACAAGGTATAGATAGGGGCTCTGGGGCAACTGATGCTCTGTCTTCTTGGTGCTTGGGGTGGGGTCAACAGTGGGAGGGCTTCTAATGTCCTGGCCCCACTGGTGGACCTCCTGATGGCACCTGGTATTTTTGGCCACTGTGTGACAGAGTGTTGGACTGGATGGCCCTTTGGCCTGATCCAACATTGGCGTCTCTTATGTTCTTATGTAGTCTTTCCATCCTCCTGGACTGAATCCTCCTGTACCAAACTGAGACCTAGGTTTCCTGCCTCATTACCAGTGCTGATATCTCCACGCCTATTACCCCTCTGCATATCACTCTCAATCCAATCAAGCTGGCTATTGTCATTCATCATCTGAAATCATCTTTACAAAGTATATATCTCTGGTACCCTTGTGTTACATTTCATGGCACACATGGCCCAGCCCGATAAAGCGACATTTATAACATAAATTCAGCACTTTTGCATTGTATATTTTCTGTCTTTTTTTGCAGAACAGTGACTTGTTGAACAGTGACTTTCAGATCTACAACACTGTCCAGCGTGATTAAACGACTGTCAAGTACTTTACACAAAAAAAGCACTTGTGATGCATAAGTAAATAAGGTACAATGGGAGAGGGAGATGGGCCTGGCTGAGAGGCCTGAATTGAATGGGTGGCAGATATGACTAAGACCAGGTAGATGGTCTTGACTATGCATTTGATAAGGTTCCAAGATACCTTTGTATTGTAAGGGAAATTTGTGAGTAGAATGGAAAGACTGGTTATTGTCCAGAAAGCTCTGATCATTAATCATGACCAGAAAGATGATGAGACTCAGATTACAGAAAAAAGTCCTGATTAAGGTATGCATCAGGCTTTTCCCACTTGCAACAACTTATTAAAATAAACTCTTCCCCTCATGAGCTTATACAAAAGTAGGGAGGCAATTTCTAATGGCTTCTCCTTTTTTGCTACAGGGCCCCTCCCATCCCTGTATCCCACTCTGTTCCCTTAGAAACAGCTTTTCAGTGTACACAGGAGGCTGCAGGAAGAGAGATATCCATCCTAGGATGATTCATATGATCCAAGCCATTTTTAGTAGTTCAGCTCCATCATGGCAAAGTTAGGTTTTTTGGAATAAACAGAATTTGATATAGGAACTAGCTAGCAGAATCCCAAAGGCACAGGCAGTACTTTGAAGTTGTTGACAAAGCAACATTAATACAACAGCAAACAACATTCTCTTACCTGTGCAGGTGTGTCTGTTTCATTAATTGGTTGTCCATCAAATCTGAACCTAATTTGTCTCATTGACAAACCCTGTAATATGAAAGTTAACATGTGAAGCTTTCATCACAGAATCTACAGAAAGAAATCTTTGTTCAATTTAAAGTAGATATTGCTCATAATCATCAGTTCTGCAAATATAAACTCACACACATTTTTCGGCTCAGGGCTAGTATTGTCCTCATGCAACATTTCTACATGATCTTATTAATCTAATCAGGGCCACAAGGGATATGAAAATAATTGTGACAATATCTTATTGCCCCAATGTAGAGCTGGCTCCACAAAAGCAAGTACATCCCATAAATGTGTGTTATGTGCTGTCAAGTCACTTCTGACTTATGAGAACCTATGAACTGATAACTACCAACATCTTGCATCAACAGCCTTGCTCAGGTCTTGCAAACTGAAGTGTACACAAGTATGAGTCGAACTGTATTTGTATGTATATTTACTGTATGTATATTTACTGTATGTATATTTACTGTTCAGTCTTACAAACTGAAGGCCATGGCTTCCTTTACTGAGTCAATCCACTTCAGGTTAGGTCTGCCTCTTTTCCTACTGCCTTCAACTTTTCCTAGCATTACCAAACTTATACACACAAAATGTTTCATGCAGATAGGAAAATGGACAAAATTTCATATTCTTTCCCATCTTCTCTTGTGGGTCTCCAATTTCAAAGAAAACACGTTTAGCAGTGCCCCTGTTAAAAATGTTTTGTCACATTGCTGCTTAACTGCTGTGCAGAGCAGCAGAGACACTGTGGTGTGGAATTAGTGCAGACATTCTACGCAACGCAGGATTTCATTGGCTCCTAGTATCAGCACTCCTATTTTAAACGTCAATTGGGGAAGAATAAGATTTAATTACACTGACAGAAATACTCCTGATTAAAGTTCCAGGTCTATGGTAATCAATGCAATAGTGAAACTGAAGTACATGCAACCTCATGTCAAAAATACATTGATGACTGTGTTTCATGAGCTTCAGCATTCCAGTATAATAAACACTGACTTCACATTTTCACTGATGTCATAAGCCTCAAGAAAACACTACATTTTGCCATCATAATTTCTCTTTGTAGGTAAACTCTTTAATGACACTTTGGCATTTTTATGTATTGGACAATATACAAGAAAATACATGGTCAATATATTTACCTGTCTTTCACAATAAGCCTTCATCAGTTTACTCAACGGTGTGTGCCTTTTTATTTTAAACTGGACCACTGATCCATCTTGACCAGCTACTTTTAAATTGATATGGTCATTTTCTGTTTTTACTCCTTCCTGAAAAACAAGAGGACACATAGCATAGAACAAAAAGGACATATAAATATATGGCCATTGTTCAAGTTTAGGCACCCCGATAAATGCATTTTTGTCTTACAAATCCAGAGGACCTCCTCACTCTCCATACTGATCACCCTGGTTCATATGGTAAACTGGGAGATTAACACCACCAGCAGGAGTAGCCCAATCCTAATGCCCTGTGATTACTGACCATAACTCAGATCAGTAGCTAGGAGCCATTTCACCGGTTGAGTCGTTTCGCTTCCCCCCCCCCCTCAGCAAGGGGAAGCAAAACCAATTGGTGAAATGGCTGCCAGGCATTTAAAACCTAACAGTCGGGCAGGTCTGCACTCATCACCTGTTAGGTTTCAATGGCTGTGAGTCATTAAACCCTTCCTAGGCTATCCCCCTTTCTCCTGGTCACGGCTCGCTGCTGCCAGGAGAAAGGGGGAACCACACTCACTGGTTCAGGGCCTTTTGGCTCAGTTCAGCGGCCACCCCAGACCAAACTGTTTAGGTTTGTGCCCATCCCTAAATAGCATCATCCAATGCAATACTATTATACCCTATCACAATGTAATGGATGAGGGTAGCCTGCTGCATTGGGTCTGTTTTCCCCTCTATTCACCAAATACACAGATAAGAACATAAGCAGAGCCCTCCTGGATCAAACCAGTGGTCCATCTAGTCCTGCATCCTGTCTCAAACAGTGGCCAGCCAGTTCCTTTCGAGGTCTGACAACAGGCCTAGAGGCCTGTTAGCCAAAACTCTTTTGCCAGGAAAAATGAAAAAAAAAATCCACTTGCAGTCCATGATGAACTGATCACTGTGTATTTTTTTTTGTTCAGTATTCAAATATCCCATAGCTAGATTAGCTACAACAGGATGTGCTGAAGTGAGCTCTGGTTCATGGAAGTCTACACAGGAATACATTTTCTACGTCCTTTTTAGACTCCTGTTTAATTTTGCTAACGTTTGGATGTTTAACATTCTTTATATACACTGATTCAAATCATTACATTTAGGTTCTGCACCATATGAACACCAGTAAGCACACTACCATCTCAAGTGCTTTCATATCAGAACTAGAAGGAAGTAAGAATGGGCTCAGTCTCCGGAACCTGCAGATGATCATAACCGCTCCACTTTGATTGCGCTGCGAACGCTTTCGAGATCATCTGACCAAAGCGACTTTAGTCCACGAAACCGGTCCCCACAATAAGTATGCCACGAGGTTGCTTTTTTTTTTTTTTTTTTTTTTGACACACCTAGACTTTACATCTTTTTCTTTACCAGTGGGCAACTAAGAGAGGAAGTCGCGCTCAGCTTTCACCGTGAGAAGACCGACCACGCGGCGATCGCTCCCTCCCTCCTTCCCTTCACAATGGGGATTCCACTGGCTCGGGGAGGGGCAAGCCAGAGCCGGAGTTGGCCCAGAGTGTGGCGCGGACGCGGCCTAGGCGTGCGCAACACTAACTACCGCGGGAGCGCGAAGGAAGAGCCCCGACGGGCCGCCCCTTCTCCAATTCCCTCCTTCCGGGTGAGGCGGGTCCGGGTCTCGCTCACAACCGGGGCGGGGGAACGTCCACCCGGGGCCTGGAACGGAAAGTAAGCCCGGCTCTCCCCTGGACGAGCCCAAAGACAGAAGTGCGGCGCAGGCTCGGAGGGGCTGCGGGAGATCCAGCCCTCCTGCGCCATCCTGCCAGGCCTGGGCCGCAGCCGCGAGGCGGAGGTGGAAGGGAAGCAGCGCGGGACTGCGGTCGTGGCGGGAGACTATGGGAGGGGGTTCCCTCCGGCCTGCTCCCCCCCTTCCCCCTTTACCTTGGGCTTCTCCTCGGACATGGCGACGCGTCAAGCAGAGACCTCTCGGAGAGCGAGTCCGCACGCGCTCGGATCCCGTTTCTTCTTGCGCTCACTCTCCCGCCCTGCTCAACTGCCCGCGAGAACGCGCTTCGCGCCCCACAATCTTCGGCTCCCAGTTGGCCCTGGAGGGGTCACGTGAGGGCGCACGCTCTCGAGGCGCGCTCCCGAGCGATGCTTTGCTCATCGGGAGCGCGCTTCACGGTGGGGGGAGGGGATGGCGGTGAACGTGCGTCATCGCCCGCCGGAGCGAGAACGCGAGGGGGAAGGTACAAGGTGAGGGCGATGCGAGCTCCTGGAGGGGGAGGGGGAGGGGGAGGGGTCAGCAAATTGGTTTTTTCCCCTTCAAAAAAAAGCCGGAGGAATGGGTGGGATCAAGCTGCCTTTCCTAAACCTAAGGAAGTCTGCTTTCTTGCAAATTTCTCAAAGAATGCATCTCTGTCTTCACACATGCACATCAACACATACTCATACAGAGACATTTTTTTCTTATTTACATTCAAAACATTTCATTCGAAAGGAGTCTGTGGAAGAATTTTTTTAAAAATCGAATCGATTGAATGAATAAGCATGGCAGTTGAATTCACTTCTCTTCCTCTCCCATCAGTTCAGCAAATATACAGTGTCCTCCGCCTCTTTGAGGTGCAATAATCCCACTGAGTTTTTGGGCTCCCAACCAAGGCTAGCAGCTTTAGTTAAGCTGAGCTCTGATGGTGTGTCTGTTTCAGGAATATTATAGATAATAACCCAGTATTCCAACCATAATATGATTCTTTTCTAAGAACTTAAGAGAAGCCAATGTTGAATCAGGCCAATGGCCCATCCAGGCCAACACTCTGTCACATAATGGCCAAAAATACCAGGTGCCATCAGGAGGTCCACCAGTGGGGTCATCACAACATGGACATGGTGTATATTTGAGATACTGTCAATGTCACAAACACAGGTCATTAGGCCCGTTTAATGATTCTGAGCAGAATGAGTGCTGAATGTTGTAGTCCCTTTTCTCAGCATATCTTGTTTCAGTGCCAATTTTAGCTCGAAAAAAAGATATGCATATCTGCTTTAAAAAACAAAAACATTAATACTGGATGACAAATTTTCACTGATTGATGTTATTATCTTGGAAGGGGGTAATCTGACCATTTTGGACATGACATATGCTATTTAGTTAATGTGATGTGTGAGGTCCAGGGTAACTGTCCCCCTCTTTGGTATAGTGGTTAAGTGTGCGGACTCTAATCTGGGAGAACCAGGTTTGATTTCCCACTCCACTTGCAGCTGCTGGATGACCTTGGGCAAGCCATAGTTCTGTCAGCGCTGTCCTTGAAAGGGCAGTTCTTGAAAGAGCTCTCTCAGCCCCAATTACCTCACAGGGTGTGTGTTGTGAGGAGGGGAAGGGAAAGGAGTTTGTAAGCCGCTCTGAGTGAAGGGCAGGGTATAAATCCAATCTCCTCCTCCTCCTCTTCTTCTTTGCCTTACAAGACTTGTGATGATGCAAATGGTACAAAGTTTCCTCCTCCTCTTCTTTGTCTTACAAGACTTGTGATGATGCAAATGGTACAAACCTTCCTCCTCCTCCTCCTCCTCTTCTTCTTCTTGGCCTTACAAGACTTGTGATGATGCAAATGGTACAAAGTTTCCTCCTCCTCTTCTTTGCCTTACAAGACTTGTGATGATGCAAATGGTACAAACCATCCTCCTCCTCCTCCTCCTCCTCTTCTTCTTCTTCTTCTTGGCCTTACAAGACTTGTGATGATGCAAATGGTACAAACCTTCCTACTACTACCCCTGACACTAGCATTCAACTTGTGAAGATTGTCCCCCAGCCCCCACACAGACCGAAACAAAGGCTCAGTCCAGACGACATGCAAAACCAAGATTTATTTTAACTATGGTAAGTTGTGAAACATGGACTTGATTTGCCATCACTCAAATCCTGGCTTGCCTCAGCAAATGCTAGTTCCATCTGATTTCCTGTACGTGGACAAGGGCAGCAGTAAGGAACAAGTCAGGATTAGGCAGGAAGTCTGTAGGGTTCTTTTGCACACACTACATAACACACTTTCAATGCACTTTGCAGTTGGATTTTACTGTGTGAAATGGCAATTTCCACTTGCAAATGGTCGCTGAAGTGGATTAAAGCAGCATTATTTAGCATGTGTGAAAGCATAATATATTTGTATATTATGTGAAATCATAAAATTAGCTGTGGTTAATAAGCCAATTTATGAAACCATGTGATTAGACTCAAGTCCAGTAATACTTTAGAGACTAACAAGAGTTTCTGGATATAAGCTTTCAAGAATCAAAGCTCCCTTCGGCAGACATGAGCAGAAATGGGGACCTCAGAATCTTTTTATTCTAGTCAAAAACAGTAGTTTCAGATCCTGATTTGGAAGACCCTAACTAACCACAGTGACTACAGTGGACTGTGTTCAGATGATTACACTAACCATAGTTTAATCATGTTTGAAACAAGCCATAGGATGGAGAAGTCCCTTATCAATCTCCAATAGGCAGAAAAAAATACTTAAGGAGGAGGTAGGTTGGCTCCTGTATTTGAGGCATTAGTGTAGATGCAGACTGAATTCAGAGTTTCAGCTCACAAGGGTGGTTCTACACATTGCCACATGTCTGGTCAGTTTCAGTACCTTTTGGTTTCTTGCAGACCCTCTACTGCACACAACCCAGCCTTCCAAAAGGTGGTAAGACAGGCAGCAGCATGCTTCCCTCACCTGGTGTAACTAGCCTACTTTCTCAAGAAGACTGCATCGATGTGGAGTTTGGGATTTGTAGCACTATCCCATGAAGACTAAAAATATAATGGAACATGGTTTGATAGATTTTCATACTATGAGTTAGGACACCCACAATTCTCTCACAGATGGTCACAAGGCCAGGAGGAAGGGAGAACAGGGCAAGGTGAGAGAGGAGGCTTTGAGTCCACCTCCTACCAGCAGCACCACCTCTCTGCTTTTCTTTACTCTCTGTGGCCCTGCTTAGAACTTGCTGGAGTCAAGCTCCAGGTATGTACAAGTTGTCTAAACTAGCCCTGGTGGCATGGAAAGCAACAGATGTGGCTGCCTACTCCTGTTGCATCCTGGACCTGGTGGTAAAGTCCCAGCCAAACATAAACGTGTTCATTGTGAAATGGCATGAGGTTCTAGTATTTGATTTGGGGGGGGGGGGTTTACTTGACAAGTGAGTTCTCACTCATTTGACAAGTAACGACTGGTGGTGAGTTCCCGCTCACCGGCAGTCTTCAAACAATGGGTGGATGAACACAGCTTTAGACTGATCCTGCACTGAGCAGGAGGTTAGACTAGATGGCCTTTATGGACCCTTCCAGCTCTATAATTTTTAAGTGGGTCCTGAGAGGTAAAGCAAGTGTAGAAGTCAAAACATCTTGAGAGCCACCACGATAAACTATTAGTAAAGACCAATGCTCCCTCTAAGCTGTGGAGTCTTGTGAGCAGAAATTCTACTTTGTGAGTTACTGGCATTAAAGTCGTAAGTGATTTGGCTGCTGCATAAATTAGTTTGTTCTGGAGCCATCCTTCCTGAGTTAAATCTGTGAGCTGGAGGCTAAAAAACTGAGCTAGCTCACACTAACTCAGCTTAGAGGGAACACTGGTAGAGACCATAATATCTGGGATGCTAGGCAGTTACCTAAGGCACCCTCACAGAAGAAGCATAAATTATGGCAGAAATAAATACACAAATGTATCCAGGTTAGAACAGCGCCATTAATTGAAAGACTATCTGATCTATCTGAAGAAGTGAGCAGTGACTCACAAAAGCTCATACCCTGCCACAAAGTTTGTTAGTCTACTGGACTCTTGTTCTTTTCTACTGCATTCGGTAAAAGCTCTCTTATGCTTTCTATTTCACAGAATCAATATTCACAAGTACTGTGCACCAATCTAAAAGGTTTCATTGCATTTTTTGGGAATACATATCCAGGTCTGAATTTCAATGAGTTCCTCCTTGGCTTAGTTACAATGACAAGAATATGTGCAAATTTCACTGTGTTTTGAAGGTGCCAAAAGACATATTGCATTATGGTCATTAAGGCTTTGGCTTTGCAGGTAAAAATTGTGCTTGGAACACAGAAGGGTCAGAATATTTATGATATTTATAGTCCATTTTACTGAGATTCAAACACAGTGTAAATCAATACTATCAGCATCCAATAAATTATGCAATAAGATCTGGACTGTAAAAATCTGAAACCATGCAGCAATCTAAGCAGAGCTGAAACAAAACATAAGCATTGATATGACATATTAAATAGTGCAGAGTTACATAGTAGGAACCTACTTACAGCAACAGACCGTACAAATTATACACAGTAATACAGTCCACTGTCCAGTCTTTCTGAACCATTCTGTTACAGTACAGCCCTATCACTTGCATTTAAAAAACACCTTCCTGAATAATTTAGTTTTACATCGTTTGTGGAGAGCCAGGAGGGTGGGCTTTTCCTAGTCTCATCAGGTAGGCTATTCCACCTGGTGGCAGCCACAACAGCAATCACATGTGTATGAATAGTTTTGCCCATTTGCAGGGTGGCATCTGCAGAGGGCCTTGATCAGATGAGTGAAATAAGCACTGGAACAGTGATTTCATGTTCTTTTGGTGAGCCACCCAACAAAAGAGGATCATTATTTACAAGTGCCTGCATGTGTATGTGTATTAATATTCACTTATACAGATAAGCAACGCCCAGAATCCTAACACAGAATATATCCTCACAGGTGAACCATTCACATAAATGTTTATAGATGGTGTATTTTTTGCATCTGTCCCAAGCAGTTTACAATAGATTTGCTACAATTCAGTGGCCTATTTACAGATAAGGAACTGAAACAACTCTATTCTGCTTACATTTTTTTTTAAAAAAAGTCCAAGCTTTACTTCTGAGTAAATGTGCTCAGGATTGTAATCACTACAAACAATATGTACCATGAGCTTGGGTAAGGTTTTTGGCACTAAAGAGTGAAGAGGGCATAATCCAAAGAAGAATGCTTTCATACAGTTTGTGGCATTCATAAGGCTGGCAGGATGTCCCAGTCCAAGGAGGCACCAATGACACCATCCAGCAATGCCCCTAGCCCAGCCACAGC